AGTGTACCATTTATGTGCCGAATAAATTATACGCCGCTTTATAGCCGAAGATAAAAGTTATATAATTTTGATTAGCCAAATTATATACTTTTTTGACAAATGATTGATGAGTGGCATTATGCCAAATAAATCTATTTCGACTAGTGTATGTTAAAGTTTCTAAGAGTGTATAAATTAGTACAATTCTAAAATTTATGAGATTAGGCAAAAAAGGTAATAGTAATTTGTTTTGTAAGGGTCAAGATATTATTTGATAAAATATATGTTCAAGCTTGTCAATTTTTAGGTAAAATTGGAAACTTTATATACATGTTTAAGTTATATTATTTTTATATAAAATAAATATATGCTATGGTAAAAATATAAACTAAGATATAAATATTATCTTTATTAGAATATTCAACTGTATTAGCATTTATATAGATAAATACTTTGATAAAGATAATATAAAGAATAAAGATAAAACAAAATAAAAATATTCTAGAAATGGTAAAGGTATAATGAATACAATAGATATTAAAGATGTAGTAACAGATCTATAATATAAGACTATTTTAGAATAACTAACATTTCAAGAATCAATATTAGTAAAAATTAGATAAAGGGTAGTGAAGATCTTGGATAAAAATCAAGTATAATAGTAGTTTAAATTGTATTTATATAAAATGTTGAAATAAGATAAATGTTCAAGTTATTCAAAATATTATCTAGGGATGCAAAATGATTTTTTTGAATATAACGTTATATTACTTATAAATCATAATTAAAAAGGAATTTTGGTCATTCAGAACATATATTGAGATAAAGAGAACTGTTTTTTTATAGTAATTTATTGTGTCATAAATAGTTGAGAGAGATATACTAAGCTGAAAAACAATAATTTTGTTTTTAATATCTGAAAGATGTGTGTAGATTATTTGTTTATATTGTTGGGAGCTTAGCTTAAAACCTATATTTTTAATATGACAAAAAACTGTAAAATGAAGAAAGTAACATAAAAAAATTTTTTTTTAAGTATATAACAAAATTAAAAAGAAAATATGATTTTAAAAAAAATTTTTTTATCACAATCAACCAATTATAATAATCCATTTTGGTAATTTATTATAAAGATATATATTATATTATAATAATAAAATTTATTATAGTTTTATTTATAAATTAATTAAAATAATTAAAATAATTTTAAATATTTTATTTATATTTTTTAATAACTTTTTAAAAATATTAATTATAATATATATATATATATATTTCTTATTAATGTTTTTTAAATTAATATTATTTTTTTTAATCAAAAAGAAAGACTCTTTATTTATTAATTATATTAATTATTATTTTTTTTAATATTTGTAATAATCTTGAATTTTTAATTAATAAGTAATTGTATATTTTATATTTTTATATTTTTTTTATTCTTATTTAATAAAAACAAATTAATATAAGTAATATAGATATAAAAAATTAATTAATATTACTTTATTTAATTATCTATTTGTAATATTTTGTTTAGTTTATTTTTAATATTTTATTAATTATTACATATATATAATCAAATCTAATTATAAATTTTATAAATTTTAATTAATCATTTAATTATTTGAAATTTAAAATTTTTAATTTTAAGTTGATTTGCAGACCATAACATTAGTTTAATTATTTTTTTTTGTAAGATCTTTATTAATTATTAATATATTTTATATTAAAAATATTATATAATACTTCTTTTAATTTGACTATTTGAAAGATAAAAAATTTTTTTAAATAAATTATAAATCAACAACAAATCATTTTTTAGATTTAATAAAAACAAAAATGATCAATTTGTTGTTTTAATTAAATTGTTAAGATATAATGTTTAAGCTTTTCAAGATCATTATAAAAAGTATAGTATAAAATAGTATTAAATATTTTGTTTATTATAAAAAATATTTTATATAAACTAAACCTGTATAATCAGATTTAACTGTATATTAAAAGTAAAATCTATCAAAAATTTTCTAAAGCTATTTGAATTAATCAATAATTTTAACAGTAATAGACATTACTTAAATAAGTATAAAGTTTTTACTGCTAAAATCATTGCAATCTAATGATAGTTTTAATACATCAAATAATATTATTTTAATTGATATATTCTAATATAAATATTATAAAATTTATTAATTATCCTATACACGTTATAAAACATCAAGATCCTTTATAGAAAATAAAAAAAATTATTCAAAACAACCAGTTAAATGCGTGAAGATAATTGAATCAAATTTTATTATTTTAAAAAATTTAAATATTCAAATATTCAAATCAATTTTAGTTACATAAGTATCATCAATTGCCATACCATAATTATATTATATTGTTATTTATACGAATTTTTTTAGTAATTTTATTAAATCCTTTTTTACGATTCTTAAAGACAGTCAACAAAAGAAAAAATAGATTTTGCATTGCCAATATATTTATATTTCACAGAAATATAATAAATTGATTGGTTGCTTAAGATAATCGAAGTGTATACACGAAATCTTATAATACCGATGAATAATTTATTCCTAAAATAAATAATCGACTAATTATAGATTAATATAAAGCGACTCGGGATGGTGTATAGAGCGATTACAATACTTTCAAGCAATATGCATATACAGTATATGGTTTCATATGACGAATTGCATACTTTATTTCTCGCAGCAAGTACTGTAACTTATCAACGAATTTATATTTAACAAAAGGGAGTCAAATTTATTTTAGTAGAGCTTTTTTTACACATTGTAGCAAGATGTATTATGAAAACCATCAAACCATTTGGAAATGATCGTGATACGAAAGGAGGGCTGAGAATATCTCATATGTCAGACGATTATGTATGTAATGTAAAAAATACATGTATACAGTATGTAGCAAACTCAGATGCTTAAACCTTGAAAGATCTTTGTGATGTACTGTAAAAGGATGAAAGCTTCCTGAAACATTCTTTATCTTATTTCTTTTATATAATTAATTGTGTCTTGATTCTTAAATTTTTTAAAAAAGAATAATCCTGAATCTTAAAAATAAGAAATTTTTACGAATGTAAATATGTATGCTAGGTGGATCCCAAATGCATATGCAAGGGGTGAGCAAAGAAAAAATATTTCGTCAGCGTAGATCCAGAAATTTTAAGATATGATGCCATGACTCCCCAAATAAGTCTTGTAAGATGTATTATTCCTGTAAAGTGGAAATTTTTGGCGGTGGTAGACCTTACATTTTGATTGTCATTGCCTTGATCTTTCTACCAAGACTTCATATTATTAAAAGTTTGCTAGGTGATAAAAGTTCATCAAATGATCTTATAGTTGCATATTCTCCTTATGAGTATAACACATGTAATGTTAACTAATATTACTAAGTACAATAATGTATAATAAATATTTCATCACTTTTACACGGCCAGAATATCGAAATAATCAAATCTAAGTTATTTGTCACATTTATGTGATCGAAGCTTTTATTATTTCGGTGATAAGCAAATGACAGTGTAACCTAAAATCTATTGCGCTAAGGGTGAACCTTCCACTTTTGGTCAGATGCCTAATTATTATTATTGACGGAGTATAGCCAAGAATGTTTTTAGCGTGGTGCACGAATGAATTTTACTTACGAACCCGACGGAACCTCAAAACATTATGCATTGATCTGAGAATTTCTTTACGAAAACTCCAATATTTTCGGTTTCATTCGTTGGAAATACTAAGAGAAGTAATCTTGGACAACACCAAAGATTAAGCGGCTATTGAAGGTACGTGGAAAAATATGATTGATATACAAATATATCTGAATTTAATATGTATTCGCCAATAGTTTCTGGTATATTATTAGTGTTAGCTTGTTCGAAGTCACGTTTCAGAAGGTCAGAAAAAAACAAATCGATTGTAGACCGCTTTTGGAAAAATAAGATGTGGGGTCTAAGATCGCCCATACATTTATTTTCATATAATTCCAAATTCGCCAATCGGATCATCTGATGCGAGTTTTGCGGTTACGCGAAAATCAAGAAAATTACGTACGCATTTATTTACAATACATTTGTAAACATGTCTTTATTATTTCCTCCTTTTACAATATATATCTCTTACAAGCAATAAATACCTAAAGAGAGTCTAAAAATATGCAATTGAACCTTGGGTGACTTATTACCATAAAATAAATTACAATAGCCAAATATTTGTATTGAGATTATTTTCCCTCCTTTCTGGCATTCGAATGCAAAGGAAAAACGTAATGGAATCCATACAAGCATTATTGATTTGTCGCGAAAAATTGTTGATTCCTCAACGCATGTTAATATTATGCTTTTCTATTTTGAGATGATTCTTTAAAATTAAGCTGTAAAATATAATAGAATACAATTAATTACCTTGACGATGTAATGCTGGCAGCGTTCCCTGGTATCTTTGGTATTGAACAATACCTGAATCGATAAGTATTGGACGCATATACCTAGTTTTTTTTTCATATTGTTGATGTTAATAATCAAGCATGCCAGGGACCTCGTCGTCCTGGTCCAAGAAACTGTATATAAAATTAAAGGGCCAATTGTCAATCGTTTAAAATTTCAACAATAGGTTCGGAAATCCTATATCTAGACGGTATTATTTCTCTCATCACTCTTTATTTTTTTTTGAAAAAAAAATTCGTAAGAACTCAAATAAACGATTGTCCATCTCGCGGATTCTCTAAGGAAAAAGAAAAGAGTTAAACCTTTTTCACTTATAAACTACATAATTACGCGTTCTTTGGAAAACTGCGAGAAGCTAGCTACGTACGAGAACATTACACATCACATCTTTTTATTAAAAAAAACAAACAAGGATCATGACTCACCGAATGGCTAGACAAGAAAAAGAAGAAAAGGTTCCATCCGTTGATGTTTCTATTTCAGAAGATGTAAGAGAGTCCAATAAAATACCTGTCGGAAACCAAGAACGAATGATTGATCTTAATGGAGAAACCGTGGAAATTCAGATGATGGTTAGGGATATTATTAAAAAATATCCTGACGTAAGGACCACCATGAATCTTCGCGAATTGTGGACACCATCAAAACAGAGCAGGGCTAAAAGTATTCCGCGTCCACAAAATGCCTTTATGCTTCTCCGAAAGGATGTATCACGAGAATTTTGTAAAGCAAACCAATCTTTGTCGGTCCGTGATTCCTCGGCTATAGCATCAAATAGGTGGAATAAAATTTCCGACGACAAAAAACAATTTTGGATAGATTTGGCCGAAGTTTGCAAGAAATTGCATTCTTACAACTATCCAGATTATAAATATTGTCCTGAGAGAAATAAACCAACAAAGCCAAGGAGAGCTAGTGCTACCGATACTGGAAGAAAAGGAAAGAAGTCCCGTAGAGAACAAATTGCACCTTACACTCTCAAGTCTCCATCTTCAAGAACTGTCAGCCTTGTTGATCCACCCATTGTTCCAAGTCAAACTTTGGTCAATGAAAGTTCAACGCACACTCTAAAAACCTTCACGACTGAAAATTACGTGCGCCCTACGATCCATTCTCCAATTTACACTACAGCTAATGAAAACGTGTCACGTATTTATCAGCAAAAACCTACCCGTAACGAGGTGACAACTCGATTTTCCGACGCGGAAACTTCTCCGCGTGCAAATGCATATACGATATCCACACACAGACCAACCACACGATCATCGGCAGTTAATACCAGAAATAGGCAGGCAATTATTAATCAAACTGCACCTTATCCGTCAAGACGTCATCATCCTGCATCAAATTCAGTAAGATCTCCGCGCCAAATGAATACGAGATCTCGGACTACTGCACAAGAAAAATATGTCCAAGAAAATAATTCACATCTTGATCAATCTATGCCACGGCAACCTAGTTCTACGACCATTTCACCTACAGGGCACTCCCTAAATAACCAACAGCAATTTGTTTATATTGATTCTGCGGGTCCAGAAAATTTTGGAGAAAGAAGACACGATTCGGCTACACTCTATAATACCATTATTTCACCGACTACTGTATACAATTCAGTGGTCCAACCAGATCCCCGGTTAATTATGACTCAACAATCATATCTGGCTTCTCCTGTGCTACCAGTACCACCTCAATGTGCCCCAACCACGACATATATGAGACCCACGAGCGATCAACAAACATATATCAATCCAACCCTCCTCGCCACCTCGCCCTCGTTTTACACACAGCCTCAGATGAGTCGGTACATAAATCCCAACATAATATCTGCCACTCAACCTTCCTATCAACAGCCAACCGATTATTTGTCATCCAATCCTGTGCACTTTCAACAAACGAACGCAGATCGTATGCATCAACCTTTTTTAATGTCATCGCCCCCACCAACTTCCGAGACCGAATATTATTACCAGCCATCAGATGATTTATATATATTGAACCATCAATTAGGTCTAAGCGGGACCATCGATCCTGCTTTACTTTATCAAAACGATCCATTATTTACTAGTTTCTCGTATGGAAGAGGTCCAAGTCCAAATTTGTGAATTGACAATTGGCAATCCGTAAATACGTTATTTTATTTCGAGGTACTGGGAAAAACACAAAAAAAAAGTTGCTCTCTTATTTTACGCAAATCTAGCGACTTTGCGTCAATTTTTTTAAAGAAAAACATTTTCTACCAATATTAAGGAAGGCATATGGGATAAATCGTTTTACGAAATAATGTAAACACTTTGGAATAATTACTTTGCGAGTACTAAAAGGCAAGATGAATGTTATACTCTCAATGAGGAAAGAGGAAATGACGGAGCGGATTATCCTCACCAAGAAGCGTAGACATTATTGCCTATACAGATGGAAGAAGGAATTTCGGAAAAGACCGCTTTCACTAAAGAACGCGTTACACTCAAACCAATAATACGGAATTACATCTTTACAAGCGGAAAAACTATGCCAGAAAAATTACTCTCACCAAAAAAAGAAGTCACTTTCATCAAGAAAGAACAACAATCACATTTACGAGGGAAAACTACGTTAGGAATCGTATTGGAATGAATAATCGCACAGGAAAGAATGAACATCAGACTACGGAATAATTGCTTTCACAAGCGGAAAGGCATGTCAAAACAAAAACATTCTCATTAAAGAAAAGAAAAATCATATTGGAATGAACTACCAAAGCAATATAACAATTAAACATCGTGATGGCTACATTCTCAAGCGGGAAAACCAAGTTATTCTCATTGACGAAAAAGAAATTACCTTACCAAGAAGGAGCGAAGTACTCGAATACTTTATTATTTTTACAAATGGAGAAAGTCAATTTAAAGCAAATAATTCTCACCAAGGAAAAAGGAAACTACATTGGAATGAACATTACCCTCGCCAAGAAGGAATGGACGTTAGAATAATCATATCGAAATGAATCACCGCATCAAGAAAGAATGAAACATCGGAATATCTACTTTCGCACGCGAAAAAGAAATTCGAACAACCTATACCTCAGAAAAAGAAATAATGTTATAATGAACTACATTAACCCCAAGAAGGAACGAATGTTGAAATATTTACTTTTACAAATGAAGAAAGTCACGTTGGAATAAAATTATATTAAAGAAAGAAGAAACCATGTAGAAATGAAATTACTACATCAAGAAAGAATGAAACATTGGAACAAATTACTTATCAAGAAAGAAGAAACCATGTCGAAATGAATCACCACATCAACAAAGAATGAAAAATTTGAGAAATTACCCTTAAAGAAATTACGTATAATGAACTATCCTCACCAAGAGAGAAATATCTACCTTTACAAATGAAGAAAACACTTTGAATGAATCACTTTATTAGAGAAAATATGGATGAATCATGTCGAAATGAAACACCTCCAAGAAAGAACACGACATCGGAATATCTAATTTCACACGCGGAAAAGGCATTCTAACAAATTATACCCTGTAAAAAAGAAATACTTACGAATTAACTATTCTAACCAAGAGAGAACGAACGTTAGAACATTTGCCTTTACAAATTAAGAGTCACGTTGAAACAAAACACCTTATTAAAAAAAGAAGAAGCCATATCGAAATCAAGAAAGGACGAACATTGGAAAAAACTGCTTTCACAAGTGGAAGGCTTATCGAAATAATTACTCTCATCAAATAATGAGCTATTCTAACCAAGCAAGAGCGAACGTTGAAATATTTACCTTTACAAATGAAGTCACGTTGAAACAAATCACTTTATTAAAGAAAGAAGAAACCATATCGAAATGAATCATCGCATCAAGAAAGGACGAAACGTTGGAAAAAATTGCTTTCACAAGTGGAAGGCTTATCGAAATAATCACTCCCATCAAATAATGAGCTATTCTAACCAAGCAGGAGCGAACGTTGGAATATTATTTACCTTTACAAATGAAGAAAGTCACGTTGAAACAAATCACCTTATTAAAGAAAGAAACCATATCGAAGTGAATAATCTCATCAAGAAAGAACGAAACGTTGGAAAAAATTACTTTCACAAGTGGAAGAACACGTTGAAATAACTACCTTTACAAATATAGAAAGTCACGTTGAAACAAATCACCTTGTCGAAATGGATCGTTGCAATAAGAAAGAATGAAACATTGAAAAAATTTACCTTAGAATAACTACGCTTACACGTGGAACAGGCATTTGAAATAAATTATACACGGTATGTAAACAACGCAATATTTATAAATACATCTATCATTTTGCTATTTATTTTACTAATTGTTATTTTTAATAATAGTAATTACTTTATATTACCTGATTATTGATGACAACGAATGTTGAATCATCATATTACATCATTGCTGATGATTCAATATTCTTTATAAAGTATTACAACAAAGCATCGCGAAGCACGAGATCAGAAATACGTAAGAAATTTTTTCAAGAGGATAAATGAAAAGAAAAAGAGCCATTACGCAAAGGTTAACTTAGAAACAGAAAGGAGGACCTTGACAGGCAATACTAGTACTTCAGGCAGAAATATTCAGATCACGAACTCACCAGAAATATTGAGTCAGGTCTCAACTGGAAACGCAAGTGTTTCACATCCATTTTGGAACAATCGTATCGAGGAGATATCGAGAAGGTTGTGGTTACCAGGAATGATCGGCTCTGCAGATTTGCGTACGAGCTTGTCGAATGGATTCTTGGCGAGAACAGCACAAAGATCGTGGTACTCGGTTCAGATGTTAACGTTGATGAAACTGAATTCGTCGAACTTACCGAGAACCTATTATCAATCGTTCTTATCTTTACGGCAAGACACAATGGGCACAGATTAATTGGAAAACAAAAATTATAAAGATTAAAACACGAAAGCTACGGATTTGTCCAACGCCCGAAGAAAGAGAAAAGCTAAGAAAGTGGATGAGAACTGTGAGATTAACGTACAACTAGGTTCTTAAAATGGTGCAGGACGATGGAATCACTGACATGAGCGTCATACGAAAGCACTACCTGAACGATGAATGCTTCACAACTCTGGGTAAAAGAGACCCCTAGGGAAGTACGTTCGTACGCGATTCGACAATTGATAGCCGCATACAAACAAACAAGAAGTTTCATGGAAATAATTTTCAAATGAAATACCGATCAAAGGAGGATCGAACACAAATCATCTTGATTCTTGCTAGGGATTGGAATAGGAACAGAGGAAAATATGCGTTCCTAAAAATATTATCACCTCAGAACGATCACCAGATATCAATAATAAGATTAACATAACAACGAATCATCTGGGGCATTTTTACTTTGTTTCCGTTTCTTTGGATATCATCGATAACCAAGATGATGTTTGGGAAAGGAATCTCACTCGGTCCAGGTGTTCGCACGTTTATAACCGGTCATGACTCTGACAGTCAATTAATCGAGTGGGTTAACGGTGATTTTAATAAAATATTTTAATTATCTAAGAAAATGACAATTACAGAGCGATAAAGATCTTGCTTTGGGAAGAACAAGCGAGAGAGAGATCTCGATTGAGAAAAAAATGCTACGAAACATACAACAAATCCATAATTTAATCGATGAGTGCCATCATCAGCTGGGCCGTCGATTATGTCAGAATTACGAGGTCCTTCTTTTACCCAAGTTCGAGTTTTCAAGGTGTTTTTGAAGAACAGGCGAAAGATTTGGTCAAAGACTTCTCGTGCGATGCTAACTTGGTCGCGTTTCAGGTTTACATCATTAGTCGAGAGAGTTCAGAGCTTGCAAGGTCATTGAACGCACCGAAGAAAATACATCAAAAGACGTGTGGGAATTATGGATTCGTAAAAAATGATCTCGGTGGATCAGATACATTTAATTGTGATTCGTGCGAGATGAAGATGGATCGGGACATGAATGGTGCTAGAAATATCTTACTCGAATTGAGAAAAAATCATATTGAAGAAAGAAGAAACCGTGTTGAAATGAACTATCTCCCAAGAAGGAACGAGATATTAGAATAACCATATTTATAATTGAAGATTTACCTACCTTTACGAATAGAAACGAATTACTCTCGCTAAAGGAAAAAATTACACATACCCAAAGAAGAAATAACAACACGACTACTACTGCGCTAACACTAGCTAGAGAATGATAACTTAACGTTAGATGAATGTTTATTTGAATCATGTGCTCAAATAGTACATACGAGGGAGCATTTTTTTTTGTCAAGTTACCCAGATGAACATTTTATTATTAGTTTAGAAATACAACTCATGTACAGTAGTATACATTTATATTTAGAAAATTCAGCTTTGCTGTTTGAATTATTAATAAAAGATGACGCCGTATTTAATTTAAATTTTGAAATATTTATATACCGTAAATCATTTAACAGATAAAAATTTAAAAAATGCAATTTTAATAACCAATATTATAAATACATTCTTTACTAAGTCAAAGTTGAGCGGTGGTTTTATGCAAAAATTATAAATGAAGGATAACAGAGTTTTCATCTTACAAAAGTATCGAACCAAGCAACTTTCAAGTTACGTTAACGATATCACTTTTTTACAATTTGCTCTTATGATTAGTATTGTCTGCATCATTCTTGTCGGCCCTCTCTTTCTGAGTATTTTCGATGCTTGCATTCATAATATCGTCGGCCTTATTAATAATTTTGTCGACTTGCTTTTTTGTGGTGTCGTCATGTTTTGATTTTTCGTCTTGATTATTGAAAATTGGAAATATCAAAGCTATTTAGCTTCCGGCTTCATTACGTATTGGATAATCCCACTAATACACCTACCATCTCGAACAGAAGCAGCTTCACGTTCCGAAGTTCCGGCCAACTTGTCGGCTTTCCCCTGTTCACTTAATTTTTCGTTACCGATCGCCTCACCAACTTTTTCTTTTGCCATGCCAACATAGTATTTAGCGTCACCTTTGACTTTCGAGGCTTTGTTTCCTGACATATTTTTTCTTGTTTTCCAAGGTAATTACGATTTACAGGAATTATATAAAAGTTATGAACCTGAATAACCAAAAGAAAGAGATGGGAATGTTTTTTATTCTTCGAACTTTGTTTAATTACTTGTGTGAAAAAAAAAAAAAAAATTAATTAATCATTATTTTACGTCAAAATGTAATCATTAAAAACGACGTCAATGTTACCATATTGAAACTAAACGTTAGGCAATCTATATCGCTCGCTAGCCAACAAATCAAACAATAATTTTCTTTTGGGAATAGATTTATTTCAACATTAAGAAATATGCATGCGCAATTTTACAGATGCGAGTTAATTATTTAAAATTCATTCTCATCATTCTTCCATTTGATCTCTTTCACTGCGTCTTCATACAGTATATACAATATATTCAGATTTATAATTATCACCTAAACGTTTTTTTTACCGTTTTCTTCAGACTCACTTGCATAGTTCTTCATAGTGTGGTCTTCGTTGCGGTCCTTGGTGCATTCTTTGGATTCTTCGGATTCACCTTCATTAAGTTTATCATACATTAATTGAATCCGTTTATGAATTGACCAAGGGCGCATGTACTCTTCCAAGATAGCGGTAATAAAATGGTTTCTCATTATGTCTCCACAAATTTTCTTCGCATCTGGATCGCATTCAAATAGTTCTTGGGCGAAAAAATCTTGGAGCTTTATGTTTTCCGCCTTCCTTTCCTTCGAATGAGTTGCATTTTCCACGTTATTCTTAATCCACAGAGGATATTTATAAAGACACTCCAGAGGTTTGGTGCCTGTACAATCCCAGGCAAGAAAGCCGGAAATTTTTATGTTGCCATCGAGATCACGGTCCAACAATATTTTAGACGCACTTATTTCCGAAGGACATATCACAAACGTGAGGTCATGATCTTTGCTCTCGAAATGTTTAAAGAATAGTTCGATTAATTGCATTTGAATTGGACTCCACAATTGATGGCACTCATCGTCTAGACTTTCAAGAAACCCGAGTTCTTTGCCCAATGCGGCCTGCAAAAATTCACGAGTGCTAAGAAACGGACCAAATTGTGCATCTTCAGTTTCGTCTCTTCCTGACTGCATGAAAACATGGAAGACACATTCACCAATGGTCATTTTGCTTTTCTCGCAATCCTTAATGGTGTACAAACTCCCGATCATTGGAAATTCGAGTTCTTTGAGAGTCAACAAAATATCGATAATTTGTAACAACACTTCTTGTTTTTCTTCAAATGAAAGATCCGACCATTCGTCACGCAAAGGAATGCCGCGCAAGTATTCCATTATAACAAATTCCGATCCAACATCGTTATTCTTTTTAGCATTCCAATAGTAAACATTAGGTACGGGAATGTTTGTGCAGGAAGCCACGTAACTTGTCAAGTTAGCTTCACATTCCAACCTTTTGACCGCGTAACTTTCGGAATAGTTATGAAATTGGTTTTCAGGATGTGGATAAGAGATACGTACAACATATTTTGAATCATCCTCCATGACGACGAGGTAAGGTATTTGATTGCTAGTCTTTTGATCAATTCGCGAAATGGATTTGCAGGGTTGTTGAAAGACGCGTTCCAAGGTCTCCCACAGAGCGTTGAAGTTAACAAAGTCGTCGTCGCCTTCGCCCTCGCGAGATTTTCCTACGTCCGATAAATTAGAGTTACCCAGAGGATTATTATTTTTATCTTCAGTAGACTCGTTTAGTTCGATGCGATCTAGTTGATTCGAGACAGCATCGACATCGTTCTCAGGGGTTTTAGAAACAGACATCACCGTATCACACTTTGGGAAGATATTTTATTTTAAGAATACGGTATATGCTGTAATTTACTAGTGATTTTATTTTAATAATGATAATTTAATTGGTAAATAAATACGTAGTGATGTGATGACGCACATGTTTTAGACTTGGTTTTTTTTAAAAGTACAAGAAATATCGAATATTACAATACAAGAAAATGTTAATCTAACATAAAACGACTACTTCAAGCCGCACTCTGTGTAAAATTACAAGATAAACTCCGAAGACGCATCACTCAAAAAATAAGTAACAAAAAAAGCAAGTAAAAAAAACAATAAATTCACACTCGGTCTACTTGCCGAGGAATGAGCACTAGGAGAATTATGACATTCATTACTCAAGAGAGATTGATTGTTGATCCAATTGGAATACATTATCAAAGAATTTTTGGGTTGGAAGTATGGAACCATGTGACCAGATTGATATACTCTGACGAACCATAGTGCGTCAAAACTTCTAACTTGACCTGCCTTCCCAACATCTCCACACCATTCCGTTAGCGGAACCATGTTGAATTCAGATTGATGTGACCATTGTATGGCGGAAGCTGATTTGTTACCCCCAAACCTTTTAAAAAACATTCATGAATAACTGTACGTAGCGTGAATCACTTTGCGAGCATGCACTTACCAGTTAACGATATAATCAGCATCTCCATTATAAATCAATACCCTTATTCCGTTTTTAAGCAAAAATTCTGTTTGAGGTTTGGTGGCTATTGTACTTAAAGAAAGATGCAAAATCAAATATATTGTCAAGGATGTCATACGACACAAGAAATGTATGCATACATACAGGTCACCAGAATTTATGAATCTGGTTTGGACATTGTCATTGCATAGTTGGAATTTTATACTACTTAGAGCACCGATTGATTTTATCACGTCGGGTCTGCGTAAATAATTTTGGAACGGAGGATTCAATAAATCATCCGTCGCGCTTTCCGACACTCGAATGTCATAGACACTTTTTCCAGAAAAATCAAAGTAGTTTTCATATTGAATGCAAATAATTTCAGCATTATAACAATCTCGGGTGGAATTTGTTTGATTGCACAAGGTTACTGAAATTTTTAAGAAATGGGAGGATATTGACACCTTATTATAATTATTATCGATGGATGATGCTGATGGAGATAGTGAGATGACTTACACGCTTGTTCACATTCAACCAATGCACCCTTCATCCTCTTAATGTGAGTGTCATCTAATAACTTACCATCTATGATAAAGAAATGATGAAGATTCAGTTTGCTTTTCGGTTGCTTAGATTATAATGCACGTGATCTGAAAAAAAAATTCGTACATGAATTATTTTCAATGAAATCAACGTCCGATGCCCTTCCAATTAAAACGTGTGATAAATTATTAATATTATTAATTAATAATTATTAGGATTAGATCGATTTGTAATATTGTCTTAAGTACTACTACTACAATATTTACCATTGAATATCAGGGGCAACTTTTCGATGAGAAACGAAGATCATTTGTAAGTTTTCAAATAAAAATACTGTACTGTACTGTACATAAAATTAGTTCAGGATTGCAAACTTACTGATTGAGTTCCCCATACCAATGGACTTTAGGTTGATAATTATGCCCTGTGACTTGTTTGAATTAATTAGGGTGTTGCTATCAACGATCTTTTTCGCAATTGTTGGAACTGTGAAGGTAAATTGTGTCGGTAGTCTATCCTAAAATAAATGCGTTTGTTGAATTTGTACTTTGCGGAACTTACTGTAATGTCCGGCGTAAGACTCCCCAAAGATATGAAAATCGAGCTTTGAATATTCTGGGAATTTTTCGAAAAATAATTGCAGGAATACGTAAAGATCTCCCATTGATTGTTCGGTACTGTTGACGGCATAGGTGCCGGTGGTATAGGAGAATCCCGTACCAACTGGCTAATGTTTTAAAAAAAAACTCCATATTAAAAATTCGGATTTCCTGTGAGACACGTGTGCACGTGTGATTGTTTTCTCCTTATACCTGGTCAATAAACAGTATGTTTGAATAGGAGATCCATGAATCCGAATCAATCCGAGTATTTGATCCGTCGCTGTTTGTATAACAAGGTCCAATCTCAGTGAATAATCCATCCATCGATGAACAACCGGGACCGCCATTTAACCATAACGTCAGTGGTGATGATAGGGGATTGCTAAGCGCCTCAAAGAACCAGAAAAATAGATAGGAGTTGCTGTTGATTTGTATGTATCCCGAGTACTATGCAACATGAGCGTCAATAAATGATCTGAGTATCCGGATGAGATGAACGTGAAATACCTGTTTCACACTGGGGTTGCATAAATTACTCGACACGATATTATATACAGATGCTAAAAACGGTGCACCGTAAAATTTTAACCTCCACATTTACGGTATATCTAATAACGATGCGGTATTTGACTCATTACCTGGTGGTGTCGCCCTGCGGCCCGCCGGAAAACTCGTTACTCCGGTGAGTATAAATAGTAGTGCGAACAAGTTACCCAAAGACTTGTAGTAATTTACCATTATTTGCAGCCCAATTACTGATATAATGGTTTTGAAAGGGTTTTTAAATAATTTTTTTGATTATTTTATACAAAAGCGGTTGGACAACTGCACAACACTCCCTTAGCGCACAAAAGTTTCTTTCATTTGTAAATTTTGTTTGTTCATTTTGTTTCCATGTTTACTTTTTGGTTACGCAATTTCTATTCAGTGTTACGGATATTTGAATTCAAAATTTCAAAACATAATGAATTTATTGTGTATGAGATTTCATATTAGAACCAAGACAATCCTGAAAATGAAAAGAATCGAACAATAAAATAATATTTCAGATATGTGTTATGTAATTTGTACAACTTTTGTCATTTTTTGTCATGATTTATGCGACCGTTGAAACATCCGGGAAGTTATCGACCCATTTGACATTCACATCACGAATGGCGACGTTCTGTAATCCCGCAAAAGTAGCATCGAATGAATTATTCTTGAAAGGCTTGTCGAATGGATAGCCCATTCTTCTGGCATCAGGGTAAGGTTCTCCCCACCGAGCACCGCAGAATGATAAACTTCCACATTTTATGTTTGTTTTCTTCACGGCGTCTTTCGCTCCATCTGTAATAAAAACTAAAAGTTTGCATTTGAGACCTTCCCTGGTGCCACGAGGTAGTAGGAGATTGTATGGCCATCCGCAATCACAGAAGAATGTGTCGGATTGTTGGTCGGCACTCTGAGTTGATACCTGATCTCGCTCGGATGGTGTGATCGCGGAATCATCCATTTCTTGTGGTGTTTTTTGTGCTGGTTTGCGAATTACCACAGATTCATCGCAGGGTTGAGAAAATACGGCTTTTTCGTGAGGTTGAAGCGTTCTGCTTATTTTGTCCAACTCAATCCAATGTATGCGTGAATCCTTTAGGACCTCGGGAACCAGGAAGACTCGTAGAGTGATATCAACTCTCTAAGATGATGTGAGCGAATTCTAGTAAATCTCTACAGTTAAGTAATTGCACACAATTTTCACTTAAATAAATAAAATCCATACACTGTTGGTAGTATTTTCAACACGGAAGAAATAATAAAACTCCCTTGGATACAAATAAGTTAGTTTGGTTTCGGACTTATCATCTTCAACCCATACAAAATTTCTGGTCTTCATTTCAGTTTGAAGTTCATTTGTGATCACTGGATTGTTCGATAAATTTGCATCAAATCCAAAGGTTTTTTTCGCGTAATTCAACCAATCGTCCGAACTTCCTTTTGAATCCGCTTCCAATAATTTATCCTTGAAGGCAAGAATAACACCATCTTGTTTGATTATGACCGGTGGTGCGTCAGCATGGAAGTCATGGGGACTTTGTCTATTTTCCCATCGCTAATTTTTTTTTAAATAAATAAATAAATATATATATATATATATATATTAAATGACAAATGAAATTTTTGGTAAGGGATTTGGATTTTGTAATTAAGATCAATTACCGAGTACACATTGTCCACTTCTCTGTGCCATCGGAAAAACACGGGATCTCTAACCGCCTGGTTAAAAAGGTATTTGAATCATTATATACGCTGCCAATAAAGCTCAATTGTACCAACAAAGTATCCTCAAGTTACCGTGCGAGGTTCGATCATCACACCTGGAGAAACGCTTGGAGCTATTTTTGGAAAGCATCAGTGTTATTGGATTTCTGGTGTTGAGATCAGTCAGAAAAATGTTTTGAAATACTCACAATTGGCTTGACTTGGATTCATGATATAAGCTATAAATGGGATCGTGATATTAAGAGAATGTTTTAAAAGAAATATATCCTTAGGTTTCAAATGAACTCACCTATAAGCATATGACCAAGATTGTGTAAGGTGGTTTCTAATGTATTTCCCACAATTGTTGCCGATTTGTCATCCGTGCCAAAAGGATTACTTCCTCTTCCATCAATTCTGTCATAAAGTTGTTGCCTATATGCCAGCAATTGTTTTACCGTATTGTTTCCTCCTAGAGAAATAATTTATTTGTATATGTTAAAAACCCGTTGGCAAGAACTATAAAAAAAAAAAAGATGGTTTTCTGGTTTACCCAAATCCGACAGTTGCTTTCCCGATGCACGAGCCGTAAAAGGAATATCTGCAGTAGACGGATCGTCATCAGGGTTCGACGACAGATTAGGATTTGGATCATATGACTCGGGTATGCTTTCGGAATAGTTATCAAAAGGTTTTACAAGTTGAAGACCGAGTGAAATTCGTTCAATGTCATACCTTTCATGGAATTTAAATGAAAATCAGATTAAACAATTCTGATGAAAGTTAATGATAACTTTTACTTACCTTGCCAACATTTGTCGATGCATATAGGCAAAGTTTTCACCTTCCCGATCCTTGGTCTTACCGTTGACAGCGAAAGCCGGGAATACAAGATGCCAATGTTCGTGATGTTCATTCAAGTTTGGATCTTCTCTCCACCATCCTAAATCTTTGGGATCGGTTGTTTGTAATACCTTTTGCCCTGTGGTTGCCTGATGATTTAATTTTGGAGTTACTATATGAGGGGCACGTGCTCCCAGAGGTGGAATTTTAATATTTCTTCTTCGAGCCTCAGGATCATGTACAATCCAAATCATGAGTGCATAACGAATTAACTCGGGATCATAATTTTGCGCATCTTCCTGGGCTTGAGCAAATACGGCACCGACAGGATCATTTCCGGTATTTTCTTGAGAGATTCTGAAATATTTGTCACTCAATTGTTGAGCGAGTTGCAGTTGCGAAGTGTCAAACGGTGAAAATCCCATGAAATTTCCCTTTGCATCTATGAGATTAAAAACGTATTAATTTCGTGTCATTCCCTTTTGTTTTCCTCTAACTTCTTACAAACCCTGTTCTTTTCTGAAATTCTTGGGGGTATTCAAGAATCGAGAGATGGCATGCTGAATATGATGATTGTGAGACATGATGTTGGTTTCGCGAAGAAAAAATAAATAGAAGCAAGGATTTATTGCCTGAAGAACCTTTTGATAGAAAGGAATTGGCGCCTTTATATTAGAATCAAAGGTCCAATTGTGGGAGAATTTCAAATTTAATTACGCCAATTAAAGTTTTAGAGAATCCTTGTCATTGCTAACAGGTTCATGTTTTTATGAATTCATTAAATTGTTTAATTGTTTTATTATCAAAGAATGTGTCTTACGGATTACGCGTTGCTCAATATATCCTGATCTGAACTACCCGAGTGATTTAACCAATGAAAGGATCAACAAAAAAATTACTGGTGTAACATGAGGCATTTTTTTTAAGTTATAATATTCCCAAAAGCTTAATTTACTCCACACGTGTGTGTGAAAACATATACTTGTATGCAACCATGTTTATTATCAATCTTGATTGAGCATCTTTTTTTTCAATGTATTTGTGTTACAAATTGTGAGGAAAACTTGGAAATTTGATTCTTAATAAATCTATATGCAGTTATCAATGGCTAAATATGGTATTTTATATAACTGCTGTGTTTTATTTTTTGATATAAGTCATTCCGCGTTGCGGTCAATACGATTTACCTACAATCGGGTTCATTGTTGAAGTAGAATCAAAATATTCAAGGGACCGTCTTTCTTGTACTAAAAAAGTTATATACCATGCAATTAAAAAAATTTATTATTAGAATATAAAATCCTACAAATCAATTATGCTTTTTCCGAAGAAAATATGATGATTCATCCTATGTGTCAATGAAAATAGAATTTAAAAATATTTCAATTGGATGATTTAAATTATAATTTAAAAAATTTTTTTATTTAAAGATTGATTTCTGTAATCAAACAAGTTTGTACTGTTTATTAAATCTTTTTACAAAAGACAATTAATATGTGATACATTAAGTATTACGTATATTAAGTGCATTAAACTATATATATGATAAAATTGAATTTTAATATTTTTTAAAATTATATAATAAAATTTCTAAATAACATATTATTATACTTGATTTTTATTCTAATTTTACTAGCATTTACTCTTGTAATGTTTATAGTTCTAGAATAATCTTTGTACTGCTAAATTAAATAGTATATACTGTAAATGATTTTAAAAACACCATTACGTATTTTACTTTTTTAAAAAACATTCTATTACTTGATCTTTTTATTTTATTTAATTATCTTTATCAAAGCATTTACCTATACTTTTTTTTTCTGATAGATAAACATCATTTCTTTATTTGATTTGTATATTTAAATATATATGTTATTAAAAAAACAATATTTCTAACAAGTTTAATACTAACTTGCCTATACTATTATTGATTTTATATCTAACTAATATTGAAAAATAAATTTTAAATAATACTATATATGAAATATAGCTAAGGATAGTAACTATACTTACTTATTTAAAAAATTAACAAAAAACAAAGTAAAATAAAAAGTAAAAAAAAAAAGAAAAAATATAACTAGGGTTATAATCACATGAACTATTTATATTAAAACTAAATTAATTAAACTATAAATCTATATAAACAAAAAGAATATCTAAAAGGAAATCAATAGTTCAACTTTTGTATTGGTACTAGTCTTAAAAATATATTTTTTGTTTATATAAATAATAAAATATAATTAATATTGTTGTTATTGTTATTATTATTTTTATATTGAAAAATTAATTTGAACTAATTTGATTTTTGTTTTGATATATTGATAAAATTTAATTAGATAATCAAAAAATGATTTCTGTTTTTTAAACAAAAAATTTTAAATAATACAATAAGTGTTATTATAATAAAGTTGTATATAAAGATTATATTAAAACAAACAGTAAATAAAATAAAAAAATTGTTTTATTTCTAATACAAGTTAAAATTTTTATAATCAAATTATTAAAATTATAATAATTAAAATTATTTTTTACAAATAATTTACAAAACTATTATAGATTATATAAACTTTAACTTATAAAATTTTAACTTTATCTAAAATCGATTTTTATTAAAAAAAACTTTTTAAAATTAAAACTTTTACTTATAATTAAACTCTAAATCTTTATTAAATAAATAAATAATAAATACTATTGATAAATAATATATAATTAAAACTAATATTATATAAATTTTTAAAAAAATAAATGAAAATCAAATTTTTAATTAAAAAATTTCAAATATTATAAAAAATATTCCATGATTTAAAAAATAGTTATAAAAGATATTTATTATATATAATGTATTAAAAAAATCTTTGAATAACTTTACATAATAATAACTATATAACAATTATACAGAATTACATATATAATAACTTGTTAAAAGGTTGAAAAATCAAAAATTTATTAAGAATTATTTAATATAAAATGTTTCTTGTTTTTTTTAATTACAAATTTATAATGATCATTTATTAATTTTATCAAGTTACTTAAAATTTTATTAAGGATTTTTTTTTTATTTTTCTATTATAAATTATTTTAGTTTAATTAAAATTTTTTGATCATCATTTCTCAATATTTGTAATAATAATATTTTATAGATTTTCTATAAAATTTAAGTTGAAATTGTTAAAAGATCAATCAATTACTTTTGAAGTATTTTCTTTTAAAAATAACTTAACTATACAGCTTGTATGTATAAGGTTATTGTCTTGTTAAAATTTCTAACAGCTCTCAAGTATTTTTTTAATTTCCAAAAAATATTTTTCTAAAATTTTAATATAAAACAAATTATTTATTATTTTCTAAAAACAAAAAAGATTTGGCTTATCTTCTTCAAAATCCACCTCAAGCAAAAAATTTTTTTAAAAAAAATTATTATACTGACTGTTTATTTTTATACTAATATTTTATTATATTTTTGAATAATTGAAAAGCCATTTTATTAATAAATACTATTTAATTTTAATTATAATTGATATTTTTTTTTGCCTATTTTATATACCTTTGAATTAGTACTTTTATAAGTATTAGTGTTTCTTTTATATAACTTTTTTTATAATTAAAACTATTTAAATAATTTAAAATAATTATATAAAAGACTTAAAAATTTTTTTTAATAGTTTGATAGACAATACTTTTATAGTTATTGATGAATTCTTTTTTATTTATTAAATCAAAAATTTTAAAATTTTAAAAAAGATTTTTGAAAATGTCTATTATACTTATGGTAAGTAATATTTTTATTTTTATTTTAGCTTAAAAAGATTATAATATATTATAGATTTTGAAATATTTATTTTTTTATATATTTGTCTTGTATTTTATATCCTTATATTCTATAATTACCAAATCACCTTCATATAAATAACTTTACTAAAAACTATTTTGCTTGATTATTTAAAAAATAAGTAGAGTAATATAAATTAAGGTGCTATAAAAAAAAGATTATCTTGGCAATTAATAAATATTAGGAATAGTTAAAAAGTTGTTAACTTAAAATAAAAGCTTATATAATTTTAATTTGTTTTGTAAAATTTTATTTAAAAACTTTATTAATATATTTTATAATAAATTCTTTAAAAATTGCAATTTTTAATTAATATAAATTATTAAATCTAAAGATTATATAATTAAGTAAAATATATAATAACTTTAAATTTCTTTTAATAAATATTTTAAAAAAATTCAATTAACTTAAGTTGTCAAATCTAGAGATATAATTATTAAGTAAAATATAATTCCTATATATAAATAGTATAAACTGTTATAAAAATAATTATAAAAATAATATTTATATTAGCAATCTCTTTAAAATTAATTTATCTTCTATTAATATATTATATTATAAAGTTTATTGGATTAAAAAAAAATATAAACTTATAATAAAAATTAAATAAAAAGTTTTTTCTTATATAATATTTTTTATTTTAATATATTTTTAATTCATAATTATCAAAAGGATCAGAGATTCTATTTTTGTACAGTTTAATTAAATTTGAATAAAAATCTAATATTTAAATATAATATACAGGGTAATTTATAATTTTTTGAAATTGCTTTTTTTTTTTTAATGTTAAAGTGAGATATTACTCATGATCTTTATTAATAAAGCAAAAGTTTAACTTGTTACATAATTAATATTAAGATATGAGTTATATCACTATAGATATTAACCTATTACCTATTAAACAAATATATTATTTGAAAAATCCTTGAGCAGGAAAAACCTGAAGAACTATTTGTTATAAAAAATAAAAAAAACATTTGGAACAAGATTGCCAACATTGTAAAATATTTGAGTAGAAAGAAAAAAAAAAAAAGCTTTTGTTAAATGTAGTTCCTAAACACAATTAGTTGTTTCAGTTGGATGTCGGTACTGTGCAAGCCATATATAACTCGATGGATTTGATCATGTGAGATTTTATGATATTGTTGTTATGTAATGTTGTTATGTTGTGATGTAAATAATAGAGTAACTGGAACACGTTCTAGATGTCTATTATATTGTTCTGGTGAATTGTTGTGTATTGTAATTACCAGAACCCATGTAGAGCACTGATACATACTCTCCTAATCTAGTAAGTTGTAATGTTGTTTTGGTATATAGAAGTAATACAAAATATGATTGGTGTTTTGTATATTATAGATCATTTGATGGAGGTAAGCTAGTTGCAGTTTTTGTGTTGAAATTTATGAACTAGGACTGATAACTAGTTAGAAGATTATATAAAATTTTGCACTAGTTACTATTAGCAGAAAACAAAAAAACTTTAAAAAAATAAAATGCTGCCTCTTGAAAGTGTAATTGTTTTTGAGTTAGAAATGAGCGATGTGTTTGTTTTGTAGCAGTTGTATATAGAAATGGCTTTCATATAGAAAATTTTCTTTTTATTTATTTTCTCTGTTCCAAGTTATTGCCCAGTGCCATTATCAGTCACTAGATCTCTTAGTGCAGGCTCCATTGCTGGAAACTTCAGGGGCCAATCTTATCCTTGAAACCTCCACTGCTCTAAATCAATCCTTCAATATATGTTCCCTTCCA